CTTCTTCTTCTTCTTCTTCTTCTTCTTCTTCTTCTTCTTCTTCTTCTAATATTTCATATAGTAAATAAATTCACAGGTTTGGGTCCAATTCATATTCACAACATCATGAGCAAAGACTCTTTCAAATCCATAGATTATTGAATTATATTGTATATTGTAAAAAAAGACAGATTAATACTAAATGAAAGGTTCTGGTGATATAGCTTAAGGAAGCATAAAACCAGTTTTCTAAAAATCCAAGCTGTTTTCTATGTTCCAAACTAAAACCCATAAGGTTTCAGAAGACTTAAAAATGAAATTATCCTGCAATGTAAAATTTTCATTGTCTGGCATTCAGATAAAACACTCCCTGGTATGCAAAGATATCCATAACCAGGAGAAAGTTCAGTTAAAACAGACCAGCGAAGAGGCACAAAGGAAAGAATTAGTAAACAAGAAAAATAGCACCTCTGTTATAAGTACTCCACATGTTCAAGAAGGCAAAAGGAAGGATGGATGGGCAGATTCAGGGATGACTGATAAGAAGAACCACACTGGACTTCAAGAGATAAAAAGAGCAGTGTCTAAGGAATAATGAAGGAGTTAAGAACAGATTACGTATTGCAAGCCCAAAGAGTAAAGACAGCATTGGAAACTAAAACACAGTGGAGAATGAAAGCAGACCTTTAAAAAGGGAGACCGTGGGCTGCAGGACACATTTAGACAGCTTAAGATACAGGGAATCAGAATTCCAAAAGGGACAGCAAGAAGCACTTGGAGAAATAATGGCTGAAAACATTCCAACTGCAACAAACAGTACGGACCCACAGTTTCAAAAGGGTCAATTTATTTTAGACGTAAGAAGCAAGATGAACATACACTGTCTGCCCTACAGTCAAATTGCCTAGTGTCAGTGAGAAAGATAAACTAGCAGAAAAGACTCACTATAGAGAGAAGTAAAAAGAATACTTCCTGAGCTCTCCTCCTCCTCTCCTCTTCCTCCTCCTCTTCCTTCTCCTCTTCCTCCTCCTCCTCCTCCTTCTCCTCTTCCTCTTCCTCCTCTTCCTCCCTTTCTTCCTCTTCTTTCTTCAGAGATGGTCTGATTATAGAGCCCTGTCTACCCTGGAACTCACTATGTAGCTCAGGCTAGCTTTAAACTCAGACAGGTCTGCCTGCCTCTGTCTCCCAAGTGCTGGCATTAAAGGCATGTGCTAGCACACCTGGCCACATCAGACTTCTTTTTTTTTTTTAAAGGTTTATTTATTTTATTTATGAGTACACTGTAGCTGTCTTCAGACACACCAGAAGAGGGCATCGAATCTCATTATGGGTGGTTGTGAGCCACCATGTGGTTGCTGGGATTTGAACTCAGGACCTCTGAAGAGCAGTCAGTGCTGTTAACCACTGAGCCATCTCTCCAGCCCCCACATCAGACTTCTTATTGGAAAAAATGAAAGCCAGGAAATAGTGGAGCAAAATTGGGAAAGCACTTAAAACGAGCAAAAGAAAACAAAACTGTTAACTTTGGATTTTGTAGTCAATGGAAATGCCATGCAAAAGTTAAAGCGATACAAAGCTTGGATGAATATAACCCATTAGCCCCGTTCAATGAAAACTTTAATGGCTATTCCTGGTTGGCAACTGGACTATATCTGGAATGAACTACAATCCAGAATTGGAAGGCTCACCTGTGATCCTGATCTTGAGGAGGGAAGACACAAGTTTCTGACCTGGATGTTGGCATGGAGATCTTAAGCCATATTGGCCTTGAAAAGCTTAGGCTCAGACAAGGTAGTACACAGTTTTAATCCCAAGAGATCTCTGAGTTCAAGGTCAGCCTGGGACAAAGCAAGTCCTAGATCCAGGGGTGGTGGTACACACCTTTATTCTGGGCCATACCTTCTGCTGGAGACCCATATAAAATAAGAAAATTGGAAGAAGGAAGATTCACTCTTCTCGCCTGCTTGCATTGACTTGTCAGCTCATCTGTTGGAACCTACAGAAGACCAGCTGAAACAACTAGCCTTGTGGGACTGAGCAACTACTAGATTCTTGGACTTCCCAATCATAGCTGCCCATCATTGGGGTAGTTGGACCACAAACTGTAAGTCATCACAACAAATTCCCTCAATATAGAGAGACATTCCATAAGTTCTGTGACTTTAGAGAACCTTGACTTAAAATATAAACCTACAGGCGAAAGGGAAAAAATTGATGAAAACCTGGACCTACTTCATGTTATAGAAAATACTGAAAATAACAAATATATGTCTATTGCATTAAAAATCTCCCCCAAAGATAACTGCTAAGTGAAACATTCTCGAATCATTCATAGCATAGGTGCAAACAGATAGAATAAATTCAGCTTTTAATTTAATTTTGTATTTATATTTTACTATGGCAACATAACAAATAATATACTTTTATTAGATTCCTTTGCAATATAAAGTGGCATATAAAGTTATTTGAAGGAAGACCATAAAAATTAAAAAACATGTCTCCCAGGGTTCCTCAACATTGCTCCCCTCCCTTTGCCTCTGATCAGTGGACAAGCTAAAAACTAAGTACACAGATGTGAATAGCTGCCTCAGCCAACTGATTACCTTTAAAGAACGTGTCACCCAGCAGTAGCAAAAGATACACGCTTCCCCAGTACACGTGGAGCACGGCTGAGGCAGTCTGTATTCTGGCCTCAAAGTCAGTTAAAAATTCAGGTAATTTGAGAAACACGCTGGTAAAATAGAATTAAGGATGTTTCAGTGGTTAAGAACACTTATGTTTTTCCTGGAGGAACTGAGTCTCAGTACACACATTAGATGGCTTACTACTTCCTGTGTCTCCTGTTCCAGAGGATCCAGTGTCCTCTTCTGGCATGCCCAGACAGATAGATATGATATACAGACACATATGATACAGAGAGATATAAGAGAAATATAAGAGAACAATTAGTCTGGAGGGAGAAGTGGGAGGATCTCTATGAGTTTGAGGTCCGCCTAGTCTACATGGTGAGGTCCATGGCAGGCAGGGTTGCATAATGAAATCCTGTTTCAAAACAAACAATAAAAAAATAAATTAAATAATTCTCAGATATTTGAAAAATGATATAAACAACTTATAGGTCAAAGGAAAATATTTTTTGTTTTGCTTTTGAGACAGAGTCTCACTGGTTGGAACTTGTGACCACCCTGCTTCAACTTCCCACGGGTTGTACACATGCACAGCCATGCCAGAATTGTACTTTTGTATGCATTAAACATTTTAAGGAAAAATTAACTGAAGGAAAAGTGCAAAAATTTAACATTTGTGAATTCAGGTAAAGTAGTTCACTGTTGGAAATTTATAGACTTAAATATGCTGGAACAGACAAAAAGTCTGAAGACAATGGCTGGATTTTCACCTTTAGAAACTAGAATAAGAAAAGCAAACTAAGCTGAGCTTGGTGGTGCATGTCTTAAGCCCAGCACTCCTGGAGCACAGACAGGCAGTCTCTGAGTTCGAGGGCAGCCTGGTCTGCATAGCAAGTTCCAGAGCAGCCAGAGCTATATGGAGAGACCCTGTCTGAAAACAAAATGAAAGAAAAAATGTAAGGAGGAGAAGGAAAGGGAAAGGAAAGGGGAAGGAAAGGAAGAGAAGAAAGGAAGAAGGAAGGAAGGAAGGAAGGAAGGAAAAAGAAAGAGAAGGAAATTAGGCAAAATAATAAATGAGAAAAAGGGAAATCATAAGAGTGAAGTAGAGCCGGGTGGTGGTGGCACATGGCTTTAATGCCAGCACTTGGGAGGCAGAGGCAGGTGGATTTTTGAGTTCGAGAGTTCGAGGCTAGCCTGGTCTACAGAGTGAGTTCCAGGACAGCCAGGGCTACACAGAGAAACCTCTCTCGAAAAAAAAAAAACCAAAAAAAAAAAAAAAAGAGTGAAGTAGAGATCAAATCTATGTATACAAAGAATAAAATTTGTAAAGAAAAAAATCAGGGAAATTTGTGTCCCGAGAAATTAAAATTCTTTGATGGGTTTCGTTCATAAGACAGACTTTAAAGTCTGTAGCTTGGTTTCATTCTTCTCAGCTGTAGAACTACATTTCTATGCTCTGATCTTTTTTTTTTTTTTTAAACTGGCAAAGGGCCTTTGCATATGCTGCTGTTTGCCACCTCCCTAAGCATCAGATGTCTTTGTAGTTAATGGCTGTTTATCTTTTACATTTAGATGGACTGGTCTCATCTAGAATTTATCCTAATCTGTAAAGTCTACTAGGGCAGAAACTGTATTTTTTTCTTAGTTTTTTTAATATTTAACATGGATGTGGCTCATGGTAGAATCTCAAGAAAAAATTTCTGGATGAATAAATGAAGCATAGTAATAGTTATGTTTTCTTGGGATATAATCTTCTTTGTATTTTATGAATATGATAGTTATTGAAAGATCATTATTTGAGGGCTTATTATTAAGAGGACGTATTTAGAGATTTTGCCATCCTTTTATTCCTTAGTTACATTTATGTCTATATTGCTTTGTAGATACTGCTGTAGACCAAGCCCATGTGGTCTTATGATATGTGACACAGTGTTGCCAATTTTCACCGATAAGTCTATTGTTTGATTTCATTATACCAGCTGCACAGAAAACTTGACACAATCTGTGCCAAGTAAACCATCTAAAATAATACTGAAAGAGCTTAAAGAATAGTAGCCTTGAAGATATGTCACTTTGTGGTTTTTAAAGCCATTTTACAGACAAATGGTGATCTGCTTAGAATTTTAGTGATAACATCCTGTCAAAATTCATATCTAATTTTGATGCCCAAACCCATCATCTTTCCACTGTTATCTTGTCTCAAGCACACCAAATTAAACTTTTTTTTTTTGCCATTTTAAGGAGCTGTTTAGATGTCCGTCTTGTGCTAGCTATCAATGGGCAGCAATTATATTAGTTGTCTGAATGTTACAGTAAGTTTAACTGAGTTTTCTCTAAGATGAAATTGTGATCAATGTATTCACAGAAAACCCTTGTAAGAGAAAGATGATAGAGGTAAGACTTTATCCAACATAAACTTCATTCTTAGAGTAGATGCCAGTTTTTTTGTAGCTTAAGTTCTGAAGCACAACAGTATAATGTGCGAAGACTTTCATAAAGTTAAAAAATTCTCTCTAGCATTCAACACTTAGTTATTAGCTATAGAAACGGAACAAGTTGTTAGTTGAAGATTATTGTAGTCTGGAGGATGGGTTCAACTAAAAGCACTACAACGTACGGCAGACATTGAGTGAAGCAAACAGAGGCTTCAGAAGCCCAGAGCTGGCAGTGAGAAGGAGTCCTAAAGATAGGATCAGCAGAGGAGAAACTCTAGGACAAGGAAATAGAATAGCAAGACAAAATGTAGTCCTCCTTTGACAACTTCCATTCCTCCATTTGGGAATGTCAAGGCTGTCTGGATGAAACAGGAAAAAGCTGGTCCAGGCATTACTAGAAATATCCCAGAACATGGAAGAATTCCAAGTAAGATGAGATCCGTATGTGAAAGTCTCTCCTTAGCCTTTTAGCTAAGATCAAGTTCAGACACAGAGAACTTTGGTCTGTGTGGGAGCATGGTGTAGACAGACAGGAGTACTTGCTGTTGATAAGAGCAAGTCTGGGAGGTGGAGATGAAGAGGAAATGGTGTGTGAGGTGGGAAGAGTCAGGAGTGCGGCTTTATGCACATTGATAGTTCTAGGTCTTCATAGAGTAAGATATGTCATGGTGAAAATAAGGCACGGACAAGAATAAACCCCTAAAACACTTCAATTGTTACCAGAGATATGAACTGAACTGCTTGATTTGTTAGCAGGCAGGAAGCTATGTGAAGGAATCTTCTGATGTCATAATTCTGGGTGTCACTGGAACATTTGATCACCATTCCTTTGGCAAGTCTAGCCTTCTATGGAAAGTCAGTAGAAGCAATTGATTTATTCACCTCTACAGGAATCAGACTTGGCCTATTTTGGTAAGTCTATGTCTCCTTGAGCCTGGTAGCTAAGGGTTAGTTTTCCACAGACAGTTACATGAAGCCGCAGGTGACAATGTTTACACAAGATCTTTATTGAATAATCCCCCCTTTCTTGATAATGGCCATACTCTACTAATCAAACTCTTGGAACTTAAAAATTTGGTTTTATCATTACTTCCAGTAAGTATTTACTTATTATGAATAGAATATCAGGCATAAGAAATGCTCTAAAGACATTTTTCATCTTTCCTATCCCTTGTGTATTAATAGACATGTAAATTTATTCAAGATAGTTATTAAATGTCAACTGTGTATCCAAACTCATCTAGCTATAAAGAATTAAATGGTGACAAAGATGGACAAAGAGTGGCTAGGATATTTAGAACATTTATTAAAATAACTAGTACAGTGTTTCTCAACAACAGCAGGAAATTTTGCTTTTCTCTCCTACTAAGGGATATGTGCTAATGTCTGGGGACATTTAAAAAAAAACTGTCAAAACACTGGGAAAAGGTTGTTGTTGACATCTAGTGGGCAAATACTGAGGAACGTTCTACAATGCCTATGACAGTCTACCTTTCTCCAGCTTAGAAGTACATGGTCTCAAATGTCCATAGCACCCTGGTTAAAGACCTGAATTAGAATGGTAACTGTTACAGAACACACACACAGAGAGAGAGTGTGCCATGGAGACTTAGTCAATAAGTTATGGGAGAGCTCTTTCTCTAAGAAAGGGAAGTATGTATTCATGGAGGCGTGGGCCGGAGAGAGTTCCAGGCACAGGAAACAGTAGACAGTGATGAACTTATCTGAGTATGTGTATTGCATATACTCACTCTCTCCCATTTAGATGTGTGTTTACTAATGCTCAGCATCTCCTAATTACTACTCGTCATCACTAACTGAGCACTTACTGTGTGCCGGCATTGCATTTCACACGATTACCTCTTTAAACCTACTGTTATCTGAAAGCAGATATTATTATCAACTTACCCTTCAGGAATATAGACGAATTGTCAGGCAGTGGTGGCACACGTCTTTTATCCCAGCATTCAGGAGGTAAAGGCAGGAGGCAGGTGGATCTCTGTAAGTTTGAGGCGAGGCCAGCCTATTCTACAAAGTGAGTTCCAGGACAGCCAGGGCTACACAGAGAAACCCTGTCTCCGAGAGAGAGAGAGAGTAAATAAATAAATAAATAAATAAATGAATAAATGGGACAAATTGTTTACTCCCACCAAAAATCACTGTCTTAACTAATGCAGTAGATTAATGGGTAGACTTATCTTAACTAATGGGTAGACTTATCTTAACTAATGGGTAGACTTATCTTAACTAATGGGTAGGCTAAATGGTTATGGGAACAGAAAGTGTATTTTACTCAAAGAGAGCCTACGTTAGTGGCGAGGCATCGAAGGGTGAGGAGTGAAGACTCAAACTTGCTGATTTCAATAGTCACGGGAAGAAAATTTGACCTTTTCTTTCCCCACAGTATAGTTGTCACTGTTAACCACAGGCTAACTACAACACAGGCGCAGTATGCTTACATGTCTTGGAGGCCATTTTGAATTTGTTATAAGATTCTGAATTGTTGGATAATTAACTTTCAAAGTTTTTTTTTGTTTTTTTGTTTTTGTTTTTCAAGACAGGGTTTCTCTGTGTAGCCCTGGCTGTCCTGGAACTCACTCTGTAGACCAGGCTGGCCTCGAACTCAGAAATCCGCCTGCCTCTGCCTCCCAAGTTAAAGATTTTTCAGATGTCACCTTCTGAACAATTCTATGTACTTATAAGAAAATTGAAGCATTAAAAATGTCAACTTATCTTTGAAGATAAACACCATTGTTATTTTTAACTTTGTATTCTAGGATTTCAGTGAATTATGCCTTTTCGGTTTGGGACCCAGCCAAGGAGGTTTCCAGTGGAAGGAGGAGACTCTTCAATTGAGCTAGAATCAGGCCTGAGCTCCAGTGCTTCCTGTAACGGGAAAGAGACGTCACCCAATAGGTGACTATCTTGCCAGCTGAGGAGATGGGTATTGCTTATCATCAGTATGGGCACTGACACTTAATATTAGCAAGAAACAAATTAAGCCTGGGAAGTCAAGCACTGCTATTATTACATTAGTCCTAACAGAACCCGGATTTTAACAGTCTATATTTTATAACTTTATAAGTCTAGACCAATCCTTCCTCTGCCCCATACATTGTTATCTAGACTGTGTCTATGTTCTCAAGATCAACATCAGATCACCAGTGTACTGATGTGAAGGGCATTGTTCAGGTACAAGGGTACAAATGCAGAGACAGATGGAGACCTCTCACTGGTGTCACTTGGCTTGAGCTAGACTGAGCCAACAGTAGAGTATGGAAACGCCACAAGGGAAGCTGCTTTTACGGGATTGAAGCAAACCATCACAAGCAGGAGTAGCTTCACTTTCTCTGTTTGCCATACTGAAACAGTAACTACTACACTCCTGCTTCTCTTAGTGGAGTAGGAATTTTGGGGTCACAGAGTTCAGCTTAGGAAGGTAGATACTTTAAAAGTTAGACTTACGTATGGGTGGAAAAGGCTAAAGTATTCAGGGTTGGTTATTTGATAGGAGTGTCAGAAAAGTAACCCAGACACTCTGAGTTTTATTCTGTATTTTAACTCTGAGGCTCTACCAACATCTGGGCATTAGCTTGCTAGCTTTCACTCCACAAGTGTTTTGAAATGACTCAGCCAAAGTGATTGAAGGTTCATATCTGAATTTACATACTATTACCACTTATTTATAGTTATGCATTTTTGCCATTTAATAATGACTGCAAACCCTTGAAAGGAAACATCTGGAACATTGATAATATGGGAACAGGTATGTGTTCATTGTTATGTGCAGATTCTCATCAGAACCTCGATTAGACATTTTCGTGACATTGAGAGGCTTCAGAGAGATTTTAAACAATTGAAAAGACATTGAAATTTTTCTTTGCTTTGAAGATAATTTCCTTTTTTGTATCTTAAGTACCTATCATTTGCCCTTTCCTTCAGGCAGCTCCGAAGATGCCCTGGAAGTCATTGCCTGACAATTACTGATGTTCCCATCACTGTCTATGCAACAATGAGAAAGCCACCTGCACAAAGCAGCAAGGAAATGCCTCCCAAGTAGCGTCCTTAAGTCTTCTGTGAGGGTTGACTAGGTCAAGGGCAATGGGCCAGTATCATCTCATGGTCTGCCTGGTAAACAAATAAAGGTGGTGGCACTAATTGGGTGATGACAATAGTTGACTATTCCATTTTAATAAGAACAAAAGGTGTGGTCAGTAGAGCACTGGTGATGCTAAGCCATCGGTTGTATCTGACAAGACAGACTACTTCACACTTGGTACTCTAGAGATCACCTTGCTCACAGGAGATTACTAGTTAATTACAGATTACTGGGCATTTGAATTTTCATTAGCTGAAAAGAAAAGACCATGCAGAAAAGTGGACACCAGGTCCTGCCTCCATAGTTCTAAACTGCCTCTCTGGAGAGAGCCTAATGTGTATCAACTTTACTGAAAACAAGGGAGTCCAGGGGATCCCTAAGTACCCCAGTTGTCTATCAGAGCAGCCGCACTCCTTAGAGAAAGAACACTCGGATCTAGGTTAAAGTTGCCAAGGGTAAGAAAAGACTGCCAGGAAGCATGTCATAAAGGACCCTGAGAGAGCATCCAAGCACGATGGTGATTGTGGAAACCCAACCAGGGTGGAAAGTCCTTTCCTCCTCCCCTCCCCCTCACCTCCTACCTCGCCCTCCTTGGCTTCCTCTCTCTTCTTTTCTTCTTCTAGAGGTCCTACTCAGGGACTCCCACATGCTGGGAGAGCTCTCTGCCACAGAGTTACATTGTAAGCTAAAAAGACTGAACTATCACTCACTCTGAAAGCAGGACAAAAGGTAAAAAGAAATGCATACAATAGATTTAAATCTTAGTCCTTACATAGTTGTATCAATTACAAAAGGTCTGAACTTCAGTTGTATGACAAAGAGTATCATATTGGCCAGAAAGAAGAGTGTAAGCATAAGCTGTTTGTTACTTTAAATTTGAGACTCATAAAGTCAAAGTCCAAAAGACTAGGGGTGGAGAGATGGCTGAGTGGTTGAGAATACTGGCTGCTCTTCCAGAGGTCCTAGGTTCAATTCCCAGCCCTCGGGACATAGCAGCTCAGTGATTCCTGTCCTTGGAGATCTGACATCCTCTTCTGGCATCTGTGGGCCCTGAACCCATGTGCTGCACACAAATCCATGCAGATGAAACACCCACACACATAAGATACTTTTTATAAAGTAAAAAAAGATGCAAATAGAATACCATGCCAACAAACATTAATCAAAAGAAGGTAGAAGTAATGATATTAATAATTATATAAAGATTCAAAAGTGCACCAGACCACAGGAACCGAAGCAACTGAATCACTCCACACTTACAGTATGTATTTCAAGTGGTAGAATAGAAAGCAGTCGAAGACAGAGAAAACATGATTTGTTTGTACAGAATGCCATCTCACAAAGCCAGAATAGTGCACGTTCTTTTTAAGTGCTCATGAAAACACACTATGCAGACCACATTGTGGACCTTCAAACTTCAGAAAGTTGAAAAGCATTAAGAGTCTGCAGTGTATTAAAAACATGTCCAGCAAATGAAATAAATTGGAAATAACACAGACACTCAGAGAATTTCCAAACACCAGAATGTAAAATAACACAAACAGGCAATGAGAGAAGTCAGTTTGAGCCAAGTTAAAGCACATATCAAAATACGTGAGTTTTAGCTATAGTGGAGGGAGAAGTGGGGTGATATGCACATGCTTATAATGCCAGCAGGCCGGTGAGGAGGACTGGCACAACCTCCAGGTCACTGTGGGCTATGAGGAAGACTCTCAAAGTGACATCGACAATGACAGCAGCAGCAGCAGCAGCAGCAGCAACTAAGCAGAAAAATTGAGGAAGAAAGTGAAACCCAAACCTCTTTTTTTTTAACATGATCAATGAAACATCTCAGCAAAATGATCAGCACAGAAACTACAAATAATTGACGTCAGGGTTCACAATGGAGCATCCCTGCCAATCCACAACAAGGATTAAACCCCTTCTCAGCACTACGGATGCTTCAGTAGTGAATGCCTCTCTGATTCCCTCCCACAGTACTGGGTACGTGCTTTCCAAGAGTGGATCATATTTCCATAACTTGTCTCCAGGTTGGCATTAGCTCATGGTCATTTGAAAAGATATTCTGTTGAGGCTGTGGGTGTGGGTGTGAGTGTGGAGTGGGTGTGGAGTGGGTGTGGGTGGGGTGTGGGTGTGGGTGGGGAGTGGGTGTGGGTGTGGGTGGGGAGTGGGTGGGGAGTGGGTGTGGGTGTGGGTGTGGGTGTGGGTGGGGTGTGGATGTGGGTGTGGGTGGGGTGGGGGTATGGGTGGGGTATGGGTGTGGGTGTGGTTGTGGGTGTGGGTGGGGAGTGGGTGTGGGTAGGGGTCACTGTGACCTCAGCATTGTCATATATAAATTCTGAGCTCTCATATCACAGCACTTTGGGTGTTCTGGAGAGAATTCAGTGCTGCATCTGATAGGCTGTGTCATCCTACACCTTGATGTCTGTCCCCTTTTGTCCCATGATTACACACAGGCAATCGGGGTGTCATCCTTCAGTCTCATTTCCCCCCCCCCCCCGGCTGTGCCGTCCGTCCTCACTATCTAGTAGGCTGGCTTTGAGAACTCAAAAGGTTATCGACTTCTCTCCTTTCTGACAGCTATCAGTCATTCCTCCAGTCTTCTCACACCCTTAGGCAAGTCTTCCGGGCTCGGTGGAATCAAAAGTGGAAGCATCAGTCTTTCCTTTTCCCAGAAACTTTAGTATTGTCTTGGAAGGTGAGGGGAGGGAAATAAACTTCATGGAAATTCTGCTTCCCTGAAACTCAATATTTATTGAATATATTCCTATACACATCAGACTCAGTTCTGAGTTCTTACAACAGATTTGTGAGCAATCCAGAAATTCATGTATTTTATATTAAAAAAAACCCATCCTATGTGTATGAGTGTTTCATCTGTATGTGTGTACCTGCAGTGCCCTAGGAGGTCAGAGGAGGCTGGCAGAGGCCCAGGAACTGGAGTTACAGGTGGCTGTGAGCTATCAAGTGGATGGTAGCAGCTGAATCACGGTCTTCTGCAAGAACAGTATTTGCTCTTATTCCCCGAGGCATCTTTCCAGCTTCTAGCTTACATTTTTTGAAGTTGTGTGAGCTTTTTCTGAGGAATGTGAACAGGTGTTAACAGGGCATCAGTGACAGAAATGATTCCACCCAAGTGTAGTGTGGAGATCCAGTGCGTTTAATTGGAGTTGCAGAAGTATGGGTGAGGGCTTACAGAGACGTGGGCGACTTACAGGTGACTACGCCACTGAGGAGAATATTCTTACAAAGCTTTCATTGCCTGTTTTCAGGACACATGGGGCTTCATGAATCTCACATCCAGTGACTGTTAAGGCCTATATATTTTCAGGAAAAGGCAGGAACTGTTGAAACCCCATCACCAATGGGCCCACTTCCTAGCTGGGGACTGAGGTAACCATTACTGGACAAAGGGTAGGGGAACATGCCATCCTAGAACCACAGATCAATGCCATGGTTCGCATTCCTATGAAGGTGAATCCGGAGCTGCTAAAATCACATTTCAGTTGGAATCTCTGCCTTCAACTCCGACCAAGTGTCTGATTTTCTTGTTTCATAATCCAAACTTACAAGAGAAAATATTCCATTGTTCACACTCATCTTTCCATACCAGGCAGTGTCTTGTTCAGTCGGGTGTGGCCCTGAGAAGAAGTGGAACACAGGTACAGAGAAGGCCTCCTTCACACAAGAGCCTCTTCACTCTGTAGGGGCTCTGGCAGGAGCCATGCAGAATGATCGAAAGCACAGAACTCATTGTTTTCTGTTCCAAGTACTGATAATGTTATGCCTAGCTAGAAGAAGGAAGAGGAGGAGGAGGAGCAGGAGGAGGAAGAAAAGGAAGAAAGGAGGAGGAGGAAGAGAAGAAGAAAAAGGAGGGAGAAGGAGAATGAGGAGGAGAAGAAGAAGAAGGAAGAAGAAGAAACTTTTTCATTTTGAGTCTGGGAGAGTGAAATCTCATCCAAGAACTGGTTCAAGTTGATGTAAATGAGGAGGCAAAGGGTTTCAGGATGCCCTTGTGTGTTCTAAGTGATGTCCCAGTCAAGGGAATTCTCATTTTCTGACCATAAGAATGAGAAGTACTAACTGTAAGAAGGTGGCCTCCTTTCAATCCAGAAAATATTCAATTATAGTACACTTTCCTGTTTAAATATATGTGTTTGTATTTATGTGTGCACACGTGTGCCTCATACTGTACCAAGTAGAGTATGAGTGAGACACACATGGCATCTGTTGAGAGGTCATAGATTAATTCTCCTGACACCTTCCTTATGGGGCTAAGGATCTAATTCAGCTCATCTGGCTTGTGCTCGAACCCCGAGCCTCTGAGTCATCTCTACAGCCACATAAAACTCAACCCATCAGAGCTCTGCAGGTACTCCTACTGTAAAGGTGAAAACGTGTAATCTGATTTAGGTTGTGAACAAGTCAGTAAATGAAAGGTAGGAAAAGGCAGTTGAGGATGAACAAAAGTTGGTATGTGTTGAATGATCTTTCCTGAAAGACGGCTACCTCTGAGAATGTAGTCACATTTGGCTTGTATACCAGGGCTGGTTAAGAACCCCTTCTACTATTAGAGACAGGAGCAGACAGGCTTTGCCAGCTGAAGCACATGGGCTCTCAGAATAAGAAACTCTTCCACTAGCCGGGCAGTGGTGGCACACGCCTTTAATCCCAGCACTTGGGAGGCAGAGGCAGGTGGATTTCTGAGTTCAAAGCCAGCCTGGTCTACAGAGTAAGTTCTAGGACAGCCTCTATAAAGAGAAACCTTGTCTCGAAAACAAAAAAAAAAAAAAGAAACTCTTCCACTTTTTGGATCGCTGTTTGCTGCAGAGATTTTGGATCCACAGGATAAATTTGAATTCAAATAAGAAATAGGAAGCAGCCGGTCTCTGATTTATTGAAATCCCCTTCAACCAGATGAGAGCTTCTGTAGGGAGGGGGAGTTCCAGTCCCCCAAACCCGCCCCCCACTTCTGTGTTTATTTCAGTGCTAGACAGAACTCTCTTCAGCAGCCTTGCAGCTGTGTCAGGCTGTGGGGCAGGAGTTGATGCTCACAGCACCACTGACCAGGGC